CTCTTTATGAGCAATAATTATTTCTTTAACAATATTTAAAGTTAATTATTATTATTATTTATTTCGTCCGATGCTTTATCGTTCGACTTTTCGACAATCTAAATATAAATCGGAAAATATTATATATATTAATGTAATATGATTGTGTATTTTATGTAAGCATTTAAGTAAGAAAAAATATAAGAATATAAAACAGGATGTTAATATAATATGAAAAATAGACATTATTTTTAAAATTACTGTAGCAATCTACAGATAATTATAGTAATTAGAAGATTATTCGAAAGTACTAACAAAGTACTAGTCAGCATTACGTTATTTACAATTGTAAAAACAAGTGTTGTGTTTTTTCATCATCAAAATTTTTTGCAGATCAAAATTGAAGAATGTCTTTCTTATCTTTATCGGCAACTCTAATATATTAAAATTAAACTTGAAAACGCCAGAATATTAGTCTTTTTTTTAAAATTATTTTACCTACGTTGAATTTCTCATTGGATCATTTGGAAAATAACGTCATTAATTAATTTAATTTCATCGGTTAGATATCCACTGGATTCAGGAAAGTATCTTCTATATTATTTCTTAGAGCTATAATATTTTCGAGACAAAGTTCGAAGTTCGGTCTATCATCCGCTGGATTCCAGCAACGTGACATCAACTCGTACAAAGTCGGTGGACAATTGAGAGGCATTGACAACCTGCCTCCAGCGTGTACATAATCTATCACTTCCACAAAAGTCATGCCAGGGTAGGGATGCTCACCCAATGATGTAATTTCACACATTAGAATCCCGAATGACCAAACGTCGCTCTGGGAAGTAAATATTCCGTCCACCAACAGAGATTCCGGTGCCATCCAGCAAATAGGGAGCTCATATTGTCCTTCCTAAAAAATGCGGTTTTAGAAAGTTAATCTTTTGGTTCAAGTTGCCTATTTTTAGAGTATTCGTGCTAAAACGAAAAACGTTCACTTATCTACACGTGTATTGCTTCATGTGAATAGAAATAGCTTATTTTTCTTAAATTTTATTCAAAGTAAAAATGTACTATATTATTACGACAAAAAAAGAACATACAAACATTTTTAAAAAATTTCATTTTTTTTAAATAATTGTATTTACCGAGCGGTGATATTTATTCTTGGAAATATCTCTGGTTAGTCCAAAATCGCCAATTTTAATAACACGGTTCTCGCGATCTCTAGCGGATACTAAGCAATTTCGAGCCGCGAGATCCCTATGAACAAAATGCAGATTTTCCAGGTAGCAACAGCCTCGCGCAACATCTTCACACATGGCAAACAAATCTTGCAGACGCAGAACGTGCAAATCTGACGGTTGCAATTTTCTACTATCTCTTAAATATTGTAGCAGATCACCAATCTCTATTAATTCCAATACAATTAATGGAGAATCTTCGTCTAAGCAGACGGCCAGCAATCTTAGTACATGTTTATGTCGGAAGTAATTCATAAGCCTGGCCTCTTCTAAAAATTTCTCTTTGTCTTGCGAAGAAGCATTCTTTCGAAGCATTTTTATGGCAGCGGGTATCTCTATGTCCGGTCCTTCTAAATTCTTTACTTTTCCTTGAAACACCTGTGAAATATTTGAAATTAGTTTAAATATATATTTCATAATAAAATATACAGTTTAATTTCAAATAACATATTTTATTTTGTATTAAATAATTTAACAAAAGATACATAATAGAATACATGTGTATGTTATCTCATAAAAATTTTGTATAGTTCTTATAATCTCTTACAAAAAGTTATTTTTATAAGAGATTAATTATTTTTATCGAAAAATGTGTATCTGTTTCAATTTCTATTAATCTAGAAATTAAAAGCGTATAACATTGAAAAACATTGAAAAAATTAGTTTTTACCCTTCCGAATGCGCCGCTGCCTAAACATTTTTCTAGCGTGATCTGCTCACGTTTGATTTTGATCAGTACATCCGAATTATATTGCAACATAGGTTTGTATAACATATTGCATTGAATATTATTGATAGGGAATTCACGTAGAATCGCTAATTCGATGTCAGTCATTATCGGAGGCAAAACCTGCTCGTTACTTTTTTTGCGTTGATACACTGTTATAAAATTACAATATATTTATCTAATAATATACATTGCAAAATTTACATCAACAAAAATTAAAGTAAATTAACTGTTCTTAGAAAATCTCTGTATACTACATTAGATATATTCTTTTCTGCAATTAAAGACCTAAATGTGTATCGAATATACTTACAATAGTAAAAGTAGTAGATCCAGATTATAGTAACTATAGCGACACTGCTTAAGTGGAATGATAGATAATATTCCTTAACTAATATTTGCTTTAATATTTTTACATTATCAACTATTTTGTCAGACGTTAGATTTCTCCTCGGAGGTTGCAAAGATTTACCGAAAGCATACAAGTTATTAATCCAGGAAGACGCTGTTATCTTTTGGATGTATTTGATTGCGTCTATGCTTGTGAGAAGTGCATACTCTTTTTTCAAAACATATATATTTTTATTTGAAACTATAGAAATGTAAATGTTTGTCTTGTCAATTGTTAAAGATTGAAACCTTATTTGATAGTCATTTTTGGTAAAATTATCGACATGCAAAATCAAATTGTATATAAAAACGTTAATGTCTGTCACAAACAAAAAATCATGCCATAGCCAATAAACTAGCGGCTCCTTAGTATTCATGTCGTCAATTTTCATATCAACTAAATAATTTGACGTATAGAGTGGGAATCGTAATAAGGACATAATAAAGCTGTTGTTCTGAAAGGTTCGAGCGTTTTTTCCATCAAGATCCGATTGTATTATCTGACAATTATTATCCGTAGAGTAATTTGTCCAATATAAAGTTCTAAAAAATATATGCATTATTTTATTTATTATAGAACATTATTATAACCGTAGTAAAAAAACTTTTATATATAGTGAATGTTAAAATTCTTATAATTAAATTTGTGTTATTTTATTATTTTTTTATAACTTTTGATCTTAATTAAAAAGCCATGTGAAATTATTGAAAAATTACAAATCAGTACAAATTTTTAATGAAAATATTGTTCATTTATTTCAAATGGATGAAAGTTAACATACCCTATAGACGGTAATATAGTTAAACGATCAATGTCAAGATAGGTTTTTATTTTTGATATTTTATCATATTTGATTATGCCATTTTCCCACATTGTTAAGTCGAGCTTCACAATGTCACAAAAACCAGATATATAGTCGGATTCCATCCAGTACAGATTTCTCGCTATCCAGTCGATGCAGAGATCGCGCGCAACATATTGAAGCTCAGTTATTTTTGTAATATTTTTCATTGTGTAATTGTTTTCATTCATTTTCAACATCATTATTTCTCTCTTTTGGTTGCTCCAAAAAATTTTATGTTCCACTATCCAATAAGCGACACTTTGTATG